TACTCAGACAAATTGCCCCTTTTCCTATTGCTTATGTTGGGAGGATGTTTTCTAGACCCATTTCAAGCGTTGCCAACAATTACACTTGCAATGGTGAAGAAGGGAGCGGATTTTCAGGTGGCCGGATCCGTCCTCGATACATACTCGACGCAGATATCTTCTCAACTAGGAAATGTAGAAGAAAGCTAAGAAGACCATCAGAAAGCGCAAACCTTCCGCTTTCCAAAACTATCTTCCCTTTTTCAGGATCTTACGAAGAGAGATATTGCTCTTGAAGTGGCAAAAACTCGCGTGAAAATTTCAGCGTCCTCGACGTTTACTCGACGAAATTTGAGAGACCCTATCTTTCTGCATGGAAGGCTTTCAGAGCAATTTCAATACTTCTTGGAAACGCGAAATCCAGCTCTATCTAACCCTACCTCAAACTGCTTCAAAGGTTATGAAATGGAGGAATGCAACCTTTTCATCGAGGGTGTAGATTTCGACGGTTTTTTTTTCGGGATTTCAGCAAATCTGACCCAGTGACAATCGCGCCGCAGCTGTGCATTTCTGAATGAACCTGACTAGGGGCATGCTCCGTCTCCTGTGTCGCCTTCAGTCGAGACTACTCAAGCAAGCCGCCTCGGCCAGTCGGCGCACTCGCTCCCTCCGGGAAGAGCGCTGTGCTGGAGTGCCACTGGCACTCGGCAGCATGGTCGAGCAGCTATTCCCCGGTCGGAGCCTGCTACGTCAGCGACTGCTGTACACGATGGGCGCTGTCTAGGTAGCTGGCAGGGTGCCCTTCGATGGACGACGAACTGCAACGATGGAGGACGCGATGGCTTGGCATCACCGAGCCCGGCAGATGATGACGATGCAGGACCTCGACTAATCGCCGCCGATATACACCAGTAAACATGAGTGTGTTTTTTGTAATTGTTGTATCGGGCTTAGGCTTTGGAGGCGCCAGGGCTGGGGCCCGACTAAGGCGCAACTAGGTTTTTCTTGTGCTGTTATGTTGTGGGTGTTAGCCGGGGCAAGAAAGCCCTCGGCCCTTGGGCTGGGAAAGCCTAGGCCGAAGGCGGGCCTTGCCCCCGCGGGTTGTTGTCCCCAAGCCCCTCCCCTAGGTTAGGAGCCCGTGATGCCCCGGGGAGCGGCCATGCCTGCGGAAAAGAGCACGGTCCCCGGGAAGGACCCGTAGGATGGCGTGTGACCGGGAAGGACCCCGAGGGCTCCGAACCACCTTGCGTCATGTTGGAGGATTATCAGGGCAGTCGCTCCCGAACCAAATGCAAATGTGATAACCAAAAAATGGTGTCCGCGCCTGTGGCGTGTGTGCACCAATACTTGTATCGGTAATTTCAGGAAATCAGATTACCCTGGAAGTAAATCCAGAGAAATCTACAACTAGCACCTTCGGGCTCAAATGAGCTAGTAAATGAAGAAAAATGACAGGAAACTGTCGTAGTACGCATGAAAGAATTTACGATTGAAAACTGCTGTCAGAATCACTGGGTAAGGAGCTCTCACTAGAATAAGTACGATAGAAAGACTCACGAAAACGAGTAGGCATGAGACTGAACATGTTATTCAGACGTGGGTTGCCTCGCACTCGACCTCTCATGTGGAAGAACAGATTCAGCACCTTACAATAGTGATAATGAAGCTTAATATTTGCTAATACACAAACACGAAAAGAGTATCTCATAAAACGCACTCTATTCAGGGGAAGTTTGAACAATAAGGCTTTCTGAACTTCCCAGTTGCACTTCACCAACTTGTCCTCGTCACGTTTTGCCATCTGCGCAGGGGTAAATTTGGTGCCACTTCCCTGAATGATCGAATTTAACAGCTGTGCTACACGGGTTTTCTATTGCCCTATATTCAGAACTAAACCTGAATTAGTGTACCACTAATCCCTCGACTCAGGGATATCTGATATAATCCAGCCTTCTTTCAAACAAAAATGTTATGACATAGTAATGAGACCAACAGCAGGTACCTTTTGTACGGTGATCGGGCGCAAGACTACTGGAGTCTCAGAACTTGATACAGTGCTTGATTGCTCAACGTGAGGAGTCGAAGTAAGAACAACAAGATTGGGCTGCAAATAGATAATAGAAACTCGAAAAAAAAATTATTCATCAACTGACTTCGCATATAACGGTTTCGTCACACGAAGCTTCGGTGATACTTGATGGAGGAAACGGAAAAACTTTCACATTGTAGCGCACAGCCCAATTGAGACCATGCCCCATCTGCCAAGAGTGGTTGACCTCTTCTTCTTTCTAAGCATCTATCCGTTCCTTCCCCAATCTCCGAACTTTCCCAGAATCATAGAATTTTAGAGTTGAGGTCCGCACAAGTCAGATGTGGAGCGAGGGATCCTCGATGTGGAGAGTTCATCATAAGAGGGCGATCACAAACAAAAGCCGCCGTAAGAGCAAATAAGGAAGAAGAGTACGTACTCGTCGTCATTAGCAAGTATTCTACATCATATTATATATTATATCTTGCGATCTTTCCTCAGGAAGTTTGCTGTTTTGGGATATAGTTGGAGGGACTTCAACGTCCTTAGTTCACACAGTTTATTGTAATTGAGACCGCGGCATCGTGAATCCGCGAGCAACTCTTACACGTTGGGGCACTAGCTGTCCAGCTAAGCTGGTAGATGACTGCTAACTTTTTTCGCGAGCTGGAAGATTCCATCCAGCTAAACAGTGTTCCTAGGGATAACTTCGCTCCTTATCGTGAATATCACTCTTTAGAGCAGAAACATCTGGCACGAGCACTACGAACGCCATAGAAGGCCATATGAGAACAGTGGCTAAACGTCAGCAACTTTTCGCAAACTTTTCGTGCAGGCAATTCTGCGCTGCCTTTATACTTCGCGCCATTCGGACGTTGCGGAGAGTGTAGACCGTGGGGACGGTGCGGTCACTGTGGAACGCCAACCAAAATCAATATAGTGACTAGGCTTGCTCAAACACCGACAAAAACTGCATCAGACTTACGCGAGATACGATAGGTGTTGGCTGTAGTACCATTGTAGGCAAAGGACGAGCGACTTCGGATGACAAAGGTGGAAGCTAAAAAGTAAAAAAGCTATACACAGCTGGTATCACAGAACCACTCTGCTACCACTATTCAATGATCTTGGGAAGACTTCGGTCCAAGCACAATTTCCGGAAATTTCCCATAGCGCAATAATACAAGCAAACACGAAATGAATAAATACGTGGCTGATGCGCATTTCCAAACATATAATCACACTGTCGCTTCAGAACCTATCTAAATCCACACCTGCGCAACTACCCTGTAAATTGCGTTATCATCCCTGACGCCGATTTTTAGCGCCAAATATGCCCTCTGCTCTTCCACCCCAACACCCACTCCCAGCCATCCTATTATGTACGAGGAGCCAAGTATGTCTAGTGTATGTATGTCCAAGGATACAATTCTAGGGAGAATCAGGGTCACGTTGTGGAGAGGGTGACGCGCTTAGAGAGGACTGCGGCTGCGAGCGTTAGGCTAAGATGATGCGGTGTGACTCACTGTGGAAAGCGGGTAGGGTCGCAATAGGCGTCCGCTTCGAAAACTTCAAGAGCAGTATGGAGCGTCCGCTTACAGTAATTTTTGCCCACCCTGCACGTATTTGAATGTTGTGCGAAAGCGAACTAGATGGAGTGCTCTCATTTGTTCTTATCCTACTCTCTCCCAAGAAAATGATAGATCGCCTTAGATATCTCTAAACCTATTAAAAGAATTAATCAATTGTGAGTTTTGAAATTTCGCAATAAAATTAACAGTGCTGACAATTTTTACACTAGGGTAAATAATTGGTTTCGTGCGGGATTTCACCGTAGGCCGAATAAACTACCACAGTCTACGTGCAGTTGCGAGGTGGTCCCTTCAACAACACTCGGCAAAGTTCTACTAATGATCCGGACGGGAGATAGAGTATTAAAGGCATTAAAAGCAACGATTACGATAAGTTTAAGAAGGTTTAGAGGAGACGTGGTGGTGCTCAGTGGTACGCCAAAAGCGGAGAAATCCGTCAAGAACGCAAAACGGGACCCCTTTTTGGCCGTTGGTTTTCACTCATGAACAGGTAACAGCTCAGAAAGCGGACGTATGAACGAGTTCACGCAACGCGTTTGGTGGCACCATGCCAAACCACGCTTTAATCGAGATGCTCCAGTTGTGCCGCTGCTGGCCCAAATCGCCAAAACCAAACCAGTGGGCGGATCGCTTTTGGGGGCGGAGTGCTTTCGAGGTCCTTCGCTTCCGTAACAGCCAATTAACTAAATTGTAAGGTGCCCATGCTCTCCCAATGCATATGCTTTATCGTTATCGCTGCCTTTAAAAACTGCTGGAAATGAGCTACGCGCGCATTTGCGTGTGATTCGCTTAGGAAAAACACAGTCCAGGTCGAGAACAGGCTAAAACGGAGTTTAACCACAAAAATGTCTACACAGTTCATGAACTCTGGACCAGCCAGAACCCTGCCGATTCTTACCCTTTTTCGTAGTCCGGACTTTATCACTTCAAATCACTGGCGTTATGGGATCTTAGACAGTTGCTCAGCAAGCGAATTGGTGGAGACGTAGATACGGTCACGGTCACGAGCTTGGACGAGCGACAGCGAGGGATATCGCTTGAACCAGCCGCCGTGCAAGTGTACAGCAGACGGCCTACCGCAAACGTGAGAAGCTTGGCCTGTGTGGCCTAGCGATACTCATCTTTCCAAAGGTAGTGAATCAAAAAGTTATGCGACTTCGGCGTTCTGTGGAGTGGGATTGATCAAGTCACTGGGATCGATGCCATATGATCGTATTGAAAAGCTCACTAAACTTTGTCATCCGTATAACACCCTTTTCATCTTCATCAAGTGCATAAAGGCGTTTCTTGAAAAAAAAAACTCACAGACGGCGGTGGACATTCGAAGCGTGGTAACACCATAGAAGACGGCATAGCTCCAATACTAGGACCCTTAAACGACAAACAATGCTCCTCATTCTATTTAACTGCTAACTTAATTATTTTTGTGAAGCTATTCCAAATTCTATGTATGTACGGCATGAGCGACCTTCTTGAGCAGTGGATCAACTTGGTTTGCAGCACACTGCTTTCCATACACTAATCACAATGGCCAGGGTGGTGGTGCGGTTTTGATGACGTCATTGAATGCCACTGGTGGAAGGGATTTTAGAGGCCAATCACACATCTCAACGCGCTGGGTGGTCTAATCCACCAATGACGATTAACGCCATCAAAACTGCTCTGCCCTCCAAACATATGACCACGCCTTTGGGATGTAAACTTTTTATGGTTTCTTTCGGAAGTCATTTAAAGATACAAAGACAATACGTTGCGTCAATATGACGCCATATACACTTTTTCTATGTGGTTGATTTAGAAGGTTTACGCAAAAAAAAACTGAAACCTACACATGATGCCGACTGCGCCATGGGTTGCTGCGCTGGAAAAATTGGCATTTGAATGGCAGGTGGAGGAACATTGAAATTCGTGACCTAAATCAAAAAAATTATTTTACGACTGTTCGAGTGTGCACTACTGCGCCTGAAAACTGAAGAGGAAATGGCTGTGATCAATATGTGGTCGAATTGCAATGGTTCCAAGCAACTCTCCCTCAATTTCTGCTGGAACATGCCTCTGGGGTACTTGGTGGTGTCGTTTGCTCTCATAAATTGTTCGAGTGAGGATCATTTACTTGCATTTTCAGGCGCATTATTCCACTAGTCTATTGTGCAAGCAGGTAACGGCCTTTGAGTGCATTAATCGTAACAACCGCGATGAATATTGCTTGTCTGTAGTCCTTTTCCCGAGGTTGGCATACCTTCACTTCCTATGACCTCTTGTAAACAACCACGCCAAATTGCACGACTTACCATTCGTTGTACATCTCATGGCGCACCTAAACCTCAAAAAGGTCCTAACCCCTCGTACAGCTAGGTCGGACATCCGGTG